CTGCTGCCATGCCTGAGGGTTCTAGCCTGAACAGTGTGACATTTACAGCACTGGTGGGCCAGCCACACTATGGCTCTAACTCTGGAGACAGAACACAAGGTATGACCAGGCTGCCTGGGACAGCAGGCAGGGCCTCCTGAGCTCCCAATTCAGTAACTCATCACACGATCACAGACAAGTTACTTTAACTAAAATGTTACGTGTCTGACCTCTGTAATATTAAGGACAGTAATTCCTACCCTAAATATCAAAAGATTTTAATAAGAATACCAATGCCATATGAGTATAAAAAGAAACTTTTCTACATATTTTCCATACTTTGCAATTGTTTATAATGAGTATATTTTCCTTTTACACGCATAAAGGGGAAGTGTTAAAACAACCTTTTGAGGCTGAAAGCAACATGTTGCATAGAGAAAGATGCACAAGCCTACAACAAGAAGTCTGGCAGGCTTGGACACAAGCTTCCTGCCTGGCGCAGGCTCTGTAATTACACTGCCTGTCAGGGCTGTGTCCAGCTGCTCAAGTCTCTGAGGCCCCATCTACTGTGGGCTAAGAGGGAAGACCAACTCCTGAAATATGCCTGCACCTGGCCCATGGCCAAAGTGCACTAAATACATATGTACAGAATAAATTATTTTTCCCTCTCTGTGTCCTCGTTCAGTTCCTACTAATAAGGGAGGGGCAGGTCACAATTTTCATGCCCCTAATTCCAAGTTACTATAACCCATAATCAAAGAATCCTGACAAGTCATACAATTAGGAAGATGAGGAAATACCTTGAGTGAGAGAAGGAACAGATGACACATTCTGCTGACAGTTAGAACTCAGTTTGCAGTCTGTCTGATCAGTGGCAGAAATCATCTGGGGTGGGGCTTGAGACAGGAGTGTCTGTCTTCCTAGCCATGCAGGAGATTACTCAACTGAAGGACTGTGGGTCTTGTCTGCTTCCTCAATGCACATCACACCTGTTTGGGTACTTGACTACAAAAGCCTTTCCTCCTAATGAAATAGGTGTTTTTCTAAATCAGTTTCAGTTTGAGTAATTTCCAGACCTCCAGGTGACATCTTCATGATCCAGCCAAGTCAAGGCTTAATTTACTCAATGTTCTAGCATGGTCCCAACATGGGAACCAGGTAATGCCCTGCCTGCCCCTTTCTATCATCCCTTCTCTCTGACAATGCTCAAAAGCCTGTGACATGCTTACACAGACCCCCCCCCCCAAGCTCCTGGTCTGTCACTCAAATGGCATTTACCAAAATGTGCTGCCCACAGAATCATTAGGATTAATGATAAGTGTTTTCTGAGCACTTAAATTTATTCAACCCTCACAACTCAGCGTAGCAGACACTCTACAAGGGGAAAACCGGCAGAGAAGTGAAACAACGTATCTGAGGTTGCCCAGCCAAGGAAACGGAGAGGAGAGGAGAGGTAATACCAGCCCAGGGCCCATGTGCTGACCCCCACAGCACGCTGCCCAGCCTGCTGGTACCGCACCTCCCGTAGCAGGCGTGCCTCCAGGAGCTCATGGTAGGCTTTGGCGGATTCCTCAAACCGGTCATGTTTCTGCAGATCCAGGGCTTTGTGGTACAAGGCAAAAGCCTCTGCTTCCTGCAAGCAAAGACAAGAGATGTTTTCATGGTTTGATAAAGGTTTGTCTTTTTTAAGCCAACAGTGTGTGTAAGGGGGGCTATAATCAATGGCCATGTTAACTGTCAGCTATACCTTCAATAGTGGAAAAAATCCTAATATTCCAACTTCTCAGGAGCTCATCACTGGGTGAAAAACCCCTCATGAGTCCTCCAAGGAGACTGAGTGATGCAAGCACCACTAAGTCCACGTGACAGAAAAGAGAACAGAGCCGGGCAGGGAGTCAGAGCACTGCCCAGTGGGAACCCAGCGGGCCCTTTCTGGGTAAAGCCAAGAGTGGCCACCTCAGCCACAGTAACCTAGAGAGTCCTAGAGAGTGTATGTGGCATCACAAGAAAGAAATATATTTGGTCCTTGTCCCTGGTTCCTAAAGCTCCAAAAATCTTTAGAGATTCTAGAGATAAAGTGACAGGAGTATCTTTTGTCATTTGTAATAAGCAGCTTTTAACTATTCCTGAGTTTATGCTAATGAGATGACAGGTGGCTGGGGTCCTCTAGAAAAGTTTCCGGATGGGGAACAGTTGCCAGAGAAACAAACCCCATGATTAAGGGGTTGGAATTTTAAGCTCTCCCATCTCCCCACCCCTGGGGAAGGAAGAGAGGCTGGAAATTGGGTCAACCACCAATGATGTAATCAATCCTGGAGCTGTGACGGAGCCTCCATGAAACCACCGCAGGACAGGGTTTAAAGAGCACCTGAGTTGGTGAACAGTGCTGGTGGTCCCAGGCAGAGCCACACCTAGAGAGGGCTTTGCCCCTGGTATCTCGCCGTAAACATCTCTTCCATTCATTTGGCTGTTCCTGAGTTGTATCCTTTCTAATAAACTCATTAATGTAAGCAAAATGTGTTCCTAATTTCTATGAGCTAGTCTAGCAAATTATCAAAACTAAAAGGGGCAGGGAGTGAGAATCCTCAACTCTGTAGCCCAGCTGGACAGAAGTGTTGAGTATCCTGGCACTCAATACTTGCAACCAGCATCTGAAAAGAGGGTAGTCTTGTAGGACTGAGCTATCAGCCTGTGGGTTATGACACTAACACTAGGTAGTATCATAACCAAATTGAATTACAGGACACCCAGTTGGTGTTCTGAGAATTGGGGAATTGGTCGGTATACGGGAAAAAATACCCTATATCCTTGATGTCAGAAGTGTTGTGAATAAAAAGTTCAGTGTGACTGGGTCCAGTGGCTCAAGCCTGTCATCCCAGCACTTTGGGAGTTTGAGGGAGAAGGACTGTTTGAAGCCAGGAGTTTGAGATCAACTTGGCCAACAGAGCAAGACCCTCCAACCTGAGCAACAGAGTAAGACCCCCTCTCCAACATGTAAAAAACAAATAAATGATAACTTCACTGTGAATGGCTGCCATTGCTTTCTACCCACCATTCTGCCCCAGCTTGATCACTGATTGGGCAGGACAACTTTCCTCTGGAAGGGAGGGGGGCACTGGGCAGGCCAAACAGATGTCTCTACAGAACAGGGACAGATGACTAGCAGACTTCTGACAGAGCTCTGGAGCTCTCCTGGTTCCTCTAATAAAACAGAGCATGCAGGGAGTGGGTAGGGCCAACATGTGTTTTTTCTAGGAAAAACAAAGACAAGAGTATACCCTTGTTACACTAGGGTAGGACGTGGGTGGAGACGGATGGATGGAGAGAGGCAGACCGAAATGGAAGAGATGCCAGACCTCATGGTAGAGAGGAGAGACCAAGATCCAGGGAGCTGAAGTCAGACCTGGCTCTCCTCTGCCCTGGAGCATGGTCCAGGCAAGGCAGACCCCCTCTGGAGTCTCAGCACACTGTAAGGGAGGGAACCGTGCTGAGGACCCTCAGAGCACCATCTCCCTTCAATACTCTACCTTCCATTGGGCAGGCGGACTCCCAAGGCCTGCACAATGGGCCGCATGGAAAGGTGGCAGCAGCTAACGCAGGCCCTGGGGCTAACCTGGCCGTCACATGACTGACAGAATAAACACAATTTCTCTTCAGTATAATTATCTCCTAAGTGAAACACTTGTTTTTTTCTTTTTTTTTATTAAATCATAGCTATGTACATTAATGTAATCATGGGGTACAATGTACCGGTTTTATATACAATTTGAAATATTTTTATCAAACTGGTTAACATAGCCTTCATGGTATTTTCTTAGTTATTGTGTTAAGACATTTATATTCTACACTTAGTAAATTTCACATGTACCCTTGTAAGATGCACAGTAGGTGTGGTCCCTCCCTCTATCCATCCTCCCCTGTTCCCCCTCTCCCTCTCCCCTTTAGGGCTGAGAACACTGGATAGTTTTTCTTCCATTCTTGAGATACTTTGCTAAGAAGAATATGTTGTAGCTCCATCCATGTAAACATAAGAAACGTAAAGTCTCCATCTTTTTTTTTTGTTTGTTTGGCCAGGGCTGGATTTGAACCCACCACCTCCAGCATATGGGGCTGGCACCCTACTCCTTTGAGCCACAGGCAGTGCCCTAGTCTCCATCCTTTTTTAAGACTGCATAATATTCCGTGTTGTACATATACCACAATTTATTAATCCATTCATGGGTCAATGGGCACTTGGGTTTCTTCCATGACTTAGCAATTATGAATTGGGCTGCAATAAACGTTCTGGTATAAATATCTTTGTTATAAATTGATTTTTGGTCTTCTGGATATATACCTAGTAGAGGAATTGAGGGATGGAATGGCAGGTCTATTTTTAGATCCCTAAGTGATCTCCAAACATCTTCCCAAAAGGAACGTATTAGTTTGCATTCCCACCAGCAGTGCAGAAGTGTTCCCTTTCCTCCACATTCACGCCAACATCTCTGGTTTTGGTATTTTGTGATGTGGCTAATCTTACTGGAGTTAGATGATATCTCAAAGTAGTTTTGATTTGCATTTCTCTGATGATTAAGGATGATAAGCATGTTTTCATGAATCTGTAGGCCACGCGCCTATCTTCTTCAGAGAAATTTCTCTTCAAGTCCCTTGCCCACCCAGAGATGGGATCACATGTTCTTTTCTTGCTAATACGTTTGAGTTCTCTATGGATTCTGGTTATTAAACCTTTGTCTGAGACATAACCTGCAAATATCTTCTCCCATTCTGAGGGCAGTCTGCTTGCTTTACATACTGTGTTCTTGGATGTGCAGAATTTAGTTTGATCAGGTCTCAGTAATGTATTTTTGGTATTGCTTCAATTGCCCGAGGGGTTCTCCTCATAAAATATTCTCCCAGGCCAATTTCTTCAAGTGTTTTCCCTGCACTTTCTTCTAGTATTTTTATAGTTTTACATCTTAAGTGTAAATCTTTAATCCAGTGAGAGTCTTAGTTAATAGTGAAAGGTGTGGGTCCAGGTCAGTCTTCTACAGGTTACCAACCAGTTCACCCAGCATCATTTGTTAAATAGGGAATCTTTTCCCCACTGAATGTTTTTGTTGCACGGGGCTGAACCCGACACCTCCAGTATGTGGGGCTGGCGCTCTACTCCTTGAACCATAGGCACCGCCCCTGCACTGAATGCTTTTAATAGGCTTGTGAAAGATCAAATAACAGTAAGTAGCTGGGTTCATCTCTTGGTTCTCTATTCTGTTCCACACATCTACCTCTCTGTTTTTGTGCCAGTGCCATGAAGTTTTGATCACTATCAATTTTATAGTATAGTCTGAGGTCTGGTAGCGTGATTCCTCGTGCTTTGTTTTATTTCTGAGTAATGTCTTGGCTATTCGACGTTTTTTTCTGATTCCATATAAAATGAAGTATTAATTTTTCAAGATCTTTAAAGTATGACAGTGGGGCTCGGCGCCTATAGCTCAACCGGCTAAGGCGCCAGCCACGTACACCTGAGGTGGCGGGTTCGAATCCCCAGCCCGGACCCGCCAAACAACAATGACGGCTGCAACCAAAAAATAGCCGGGCATTGTGGCGGGCGCCTGTGGTCCCAGCTACTTGGGAGGCGGAGGCAGGAGACTCGCTTGAGCCCAGGAGTTGGAGGTTGCTGTGAGCTGTAACGCCACGGCCCTCTACCCAGGGGGACAGCTTGAGGCTCCGTCTCAAAAAAAAAAAAAAAAAATAAAGTATGACAGTGGAGCTTTAATAGGAATTGTTTGAAACATGAGATATAGAGCTAGCCATCTTTCAGAATTTCCCACTAAAATCCCTTCAAGGAAATACATAACTGCATTTAAAATGAGTCTCCATCTATAGAAATAAGAAGCAATGTTTATGGCCGGGGCACAGTGGCTCACACCTGTAATCCCAGCACTTTGGGAGACTAAGGTGGGCAGGATGCTTGAAGTCATGAGTTCAAGACCAGCCTGAGCTAGAGCGAGACCACGTCTCTAAAAATAGCCAGGTGTTGTGGTGGGCACCTGTAGTCCCAGCTACTTGGGAGGCTGAGGCAAGAGAATCACTTGAACCCAAGAATTTGAAGTTGCTGTGAACTATGACACCATGGCACTCTACCAAGGGCAACAAAGTGAGACTCTGTCTCAAAAAAAAAAAAAAAGCAAGGTTTACCTGCAGAGGAAAGCCTTGGATTACGTACCTGAGCCTCCTTTGTCTGAGTTTTGTGACTTTTAAAGCTTCCCTCATGATCATCCTCAACTGTGGAGCTGGCATTTAAGGCTGCAATTCGAATCTAGAAATTGGGGTTTAGAGAAAGAGACAAGTTACTTTCAGTTGAGATGTCATTCATCTCTTCAACCACCTGCAGATGAATACAATTCTATTCCACAGTGTATAATCTGTTCTACCTGGAAAAGCTATGGCTTCCTCTGAATGTGAGGCATAAACAATAAATCATCATTGAAGGGGAAAAAAAGGATTAGAACATGTTGGGGGAGGGCCATGCCAAGGTGTGCACATCCTGGATATTGTCCACTCCAGAAGAAACAGAGGCTAGGGACACTTCAGCAATAGTTCAACACAGTGGAAAACCCAAGTACTGGAAAAACAGATTCCCAACTAAACATGCTAACTTTGAGCCTTTCCAGCAACTGTGACAAGGACCTGCAAAATACTTTGGCTGCCACACTCTCAAATCTGCCAGCAGTCTTCCTGGGCAGAGGCTGCTCCATGATGGATGCTCCCCTCCACCCCCTCCAGGGGTGAGGGGCATTTGCCTGCTCCCCCAGGCCAATGCCCCTCACCCCTGGGCATGAGGAAACCAAAGAACGCCAGCACAATGGGCAGGTGTCCACCTTACCATGTTCAGAGAGATTCAGCACTGGCAGAACTGTGCTCCCATCACTGGCAATGGCTGCACCAGTCCACAGATCTACAGAGGAAACAGGATAGACTGAGACAGGGCCCATGAAGAACCAGGAATGTCACGATGCCGGGGACACCCTGGGCCACTCCCCTCCCTCTCCCCCCCGCCCCACCCTGGGTTCTATGCACACTGGCTGGTGAATGCCTTGGGACAGCAGCATGGTCTATATCACACAGGAGTCAGTTAGTCGCTCACTGGAGTACTGGCAGTTGCCAGGCAATGTACCAGGTGCCAGGCACATAAAAAAGTGAGAATAATTCCTGCCTGAGGGTTTACTGCTCAGCAGAGTAACAGGCCTCTGAACAATCATTTTTTATGAATTTGAATGATATAAAAAGAAACACAGGCATTATCTAAAGACAGAATAATTCATTCAAAGGGATTAAGGCTGGCGGAAGAGTAAGCCCTTGAATTAAGCCTTGCAGAAAAGGACGTACTGCAGGGAAGGTGGTGCTGAAACAAGGAGGAAGAAAGTGTGGTGTGGTGGGGAAGCCCTGGAGTGGGATACGCCTGCAGCACAGAAAGGCCGTCTGAGGCCCGGAGCCACCGACTCTGTAGGCAGGCACCAAGAGGCAAGGCAGGCACTCTGGGCTTTAGGGAAAACAAAATGTTTCTCCTATATTTTAGAAATATAATGGGAAAAAAATAATTAGAGGTAGGCAGATCACTTTGAAGGCTGCAAAAGATGATACGATTGGCAAAATGTGGAGAAATCAGAACCTCATACGTTGTTGCTGAGAATGTGAAATAGTGCAATCCCTGTGGAAACCAGTCCACAGTCTCCAACTACTAAACAGAGCTGGCATATGACCTAGAAATCTCACCACTACGTATCTGCCCAAGAGAAATGAAAACATGTCCATAATGACCGAGTCGCAGCACTAAAACAGCTAACGGTAGTATTATTCATTATTATTTGTAACAACATCATTCATAATAGCTAAAAGGTAAAAACAAGCCACATGTCCATGAACTGATGAATGGATAATAAAACAACGTCCATCAAGGGAGTATTATCAGTCATAAAAAGGAATAAAGTTCTGATATATGCCAAATGTGGAGGAACTGTGAAAAATTGTGCTAAATGAAAGAAGCTGGGGCTGCCATGGTGGCTCACGCCTGTGATCCCAGCACCATAGGAGGTCGAGGTAAGAGGACTGCTTGAGTTCAAGAGTTTGAGATCAGGCTGAGCCAGAACAGGCTCTTGTTGCTACTAAAAGCAGAAAACTTGGCTGGGCCCCCGTAGCTCAGTGGTTAGGGCACTGGCCACACACACACCAGGGCTGGCAGGTTTGAACCCGGCCCGGGCCTGCTAAACAACGACAACTGCAACAAAAAAATAACCGGGCGTGGTGGCAGGAGCCTGTAGTCCCAGCTACTTGGGAGGCTGAGGCAAGAGAATTGCTTAAGCCCAAGAGTTTGAGGTTGCTGTGAGCTGTGATGCCATGGTACTCTACCCAGGGTGACGTAGAGAGACTGTCTCAAAAAATAAATAAATAGGGCAACACCTGTGGCTCAAGGAGTAGGGTGCTGGCCCCATATGCTGAGTATGGTGGGTTCAAATAAGTAATAAATAAAACAAATGCAGAAAACTTAGGTGGGCTAAGAAGCTGAGGCAGGTGGATCACTTGAGCCCTGGAGTTTGAGGGTGCTGTGAGCTTGATGCCACTGCACTCTACCTGGGGCAACAGAACAGACTTTGTCTCAGAAAAACAAGGGAAGGAGGGAGGAAGGCAACAGGACAAAAGAGAAAAAGAGGTGAGGGAAGGAGTGAGGAGAAGGTAAGAGGAAGGAAAGAAAGAAAGCAAGGGAGGGAGCGAGGGAGAGACAGGAAAGAAAAGGGAGAAAGCCAGCCAGCCAGCAGACCACACTGTCTGACTCCAATTACAGTGGAACCACTGTCAGTTAACCATCCAAGGTACTGAACCAAACTGGTCAACATACAGAGGGGGTCAGCATAAGGAACCAGGTCTCCTGACACACACAAACTGATCAACATACAGAGGTGGGCAGCAGAAGGAACCAGGTCTCCTGACACACACAAACTGATCAACATACAGAGGTGGGCAGCATAAGGAACCAGGTCTCCTGACACACACAAACTGATCACAGAGGTGGGCAGCAGAAGGAACTAAGTCTCCTGACACACACATGTGGCCCATGTTCCGCCTATGAAGATTAGGTCAACTTACGGAGGTGGTCAGTGTAGAGCAGGCATCCTCAAACTATGGCCCGCAGGCAACATGTGGCCTGGCTAGGACATTTATCTGGCCTACTGGGTGTTTTTGCCAATGCTGCCTGTCCTGCTTAGCAGCCGACTCATCCTGGGGCCCGCAGTCCAGCCCTCCAACAGTCTGAGGGACAGTGAACTGGCCTCCTGTTTAAAAAGTCTGAGGACCCCTGGTGCAGAGAGTCAGTCTAATATTGAGGTTCTACTGTATACCAAATGTCCAGGATAGGGGAATCTACAGAGGCAGAAAGCAGACTAGCAGGCTAGGGGAGCACCAGGGAGTTTAGGGTTTCTTTCTGGGGGTGATAAGAATGTTCTAAAATTGACTGTGGTGGTGTTTATACAATTCTGTTAATATATTAAAAAACCACTGAATTTGTACACTTTAAATAGGTAAACAATATGGTATACAAATTGTGTCTCAATAAAGCCCTTATTTTTATTTTTTTTTGAGACAGTCTCACTTTGTTGAGTCCTTGGTAGAGTGCAGTGGCATCAAGCTCACAGCACCCTCAAACTCCAGGGCTCAAGTGCATCATTGATCGTAGCAACCTCAAATTCTTGGGCTCAAGTGATCCTCTTGCCTGTTTTTCATTGTTAGTAGAGACAGGTCTCACTCTTGCTCAGGCAGGTCTTGAACTCGTGAGCTAAAGTGATCCACCCACCTCAGCCTCCCAGAGTGCTATGAGCCACTACATCCAGCCAAAGCTCTTTTTTTGGCCGGGGCTGGGTTTGAACCCGCCACCTACGGCATATGTGGCTGGTGCCCTACTCCTTTGAGCCACAGGCACCACCCCAAAGCTCTTATTTTTAAAATGATGCCGGGAGTCCAGATGGAGTGGTGGCAGTGGAGAGTAGGAAGATTACCAGGGGGCAGACTCACAGGACCTGAGAGGACAGGAGGGGCAGCTGCTGAAAGTCCAACTCAGAGGCTGGCATAGGGACTGAAAGAGCTATGCAGGCTAAGCCTTAGAGACAGACTGCACACTTCTATAAAATGAAACGACCACTACTACTGCCACCAGCAGGGACCTCCAGCATAGCTTCCACAATGGGCTCTGAGTTCTCCAAAGGTCCTGCAAGGAAGGAAGCAGTCTTCCTCACAGACAAGAAGAATCAAACCCCTCCTAGATTGATCGTTATATTATCTCTTGGGTTTCACATTAGAAGAAAAGAAGGCTACTGATTAAAAGTTTGAAATATGCAACTTTACCATAAGCAATGCCATGATGTACACTGTGACCACCATACAATATGAAAAACAAACAAAAGTAGAAACTATAGCACTGAAACCTATTTCTAAGCTATTATCAAAATGAAACAATAGCAGAAAATAGGTATTGGAAAGGACTTAGCCTTTGTAGATTGTTAGTGAGACTGCAAAGTGGTGCAGCTGCTATGGAAAAGGATAGGACAGTTCTTCAAAATATCAAGCAGAATCATTATACCATATGACTCAGCAATTCCATTCTTTAGGCATATGCCCAAAATAGCTGAAAGCAAGGACTCAAGCAAATACCTGCATACCCTTTCACTGCAGCATTATTTACAAGATCCAAAAGGTGAAAGCAAACCAACTGTCTACTGAAAAGTGAACGGATAAACGAAATGTAGTGTACACATGCAACAGAATAGTATCCAATCTTAAAGTGGAAGGAAATTCTAACACGTACCACAACACTAAGTAAAATAAGCCAGACACCAAGGGACAAACATTGCATGACTCCATATATAGGAGGAACCTGAAATAGGCAAATTCACAGGGACAGAAAGTAGAATGGTGGTTGCCAGGGTCTGGGGGAGGGGGCAGCCGGGAGTTACTGTTTGATGGGTACAGAGAGTCTGTCTTACAAGATGAAAAGACAGATGGTGGTATGGTTAACACCACAGTGTGAATATATACTTAATAACACCCAGCTGTCCACTTGAAGAATGGTTAAAATAGTAACTTTTGTTTGTATATTTTGCCACAAATTAAAAAAGAAAGGAACTAGCAATCAATAGGATAAAGCATTTCCAGTTAGGATCAAAGTCAACACACTTTCAAAGCACAAAGACATTAGTTCCAACAAAGTCTCTGCAAGACCCTGATAATCTCCAGGCAGGCCAGCAGCTCAGGCCCCTCCCGAGGATTCCCAGAGGGCACAGCCCACAGCTCCAGGACCCAGCTTGGGACTCCACTGGAAATCAGAGAGGTGGGAGGGTCTCTCAATCCCCACTTTACAGCCTTTCTCCTGGTCAGCCACTGGGCTCTGTGCACTGAACCCCAGAAGACCTGTGAGTGCACTGGGCGTCAGACAGCCCTGTTAGATTGCTGCCTTCACTTACAGACCAGTAACTCAGTAACTACTCCGTAACCACTTAATAACTACTTACTTGTTGATTTTTTTCACCACTACCTTACTATAAAAATTGGCTGTCCTACATAGAGCTGGAATTGCAAGAAGGAAAAACTGAATTTGGAATAAGATTTCAGAGTGTGGCTGGGCTGTGTCTCAAGATGCCTGAGAGACTAATCCATTCTCAGTCTTGGTATCCTTGTGTAAAAAGGGGACAATGACCTGACTGAACTCAGAGCTCCTCTGGCAGAGACCAGCAGGTTCAGCAAGGATTCCCCATGTCACACCCACACTATAGCCAGTCCACCAGCCTTGTCTCTGTCCTTGTGCCACCCATCTAAGTTGTAGCAAGTCCTCCCAGATACCAACTGAACCCCTGTGGAGAAAATGAAGATGAGGGTCCAGGGATGGCCGACGGATGAGGTCTCTGGGGCAGT